TAACTGGCGTCACAGTAGAATGGTCCAATCAGAGGCTCATTTGGTCGTTTAAAATGTTGCTAAAAATTTTTATGTCAATCTTTCCTTTTGATTTTTTCCATACTATCTCTTCAATGTGTCTGTGTTTGAAATCTTTTTTCCAATCTATGAAAGTAATTTTAGTTTTTAAGTTATAACCTTTTAAAGTCCAGATACTTCAATTGTCACTTTACTGTGAACACACTCTTATAAGAACGGATTATGATTCTCTTTTTGTTGACATGCTTCAATTACAAACTAGAAATTGGGAGGACAATTTGTGTAACTGCTTGAGCAGCCTGTCAAACCTCACTCTGCTAGAACTCGGCATTGTTAGGAGTAGGTATTGCATGGTGGACATGAGGTGAGTTGGGAATAGCTGTCATGCAAATAGAAACATTATTATTGGGGCTGCCATAGTGTCTCCTCCAGCAATCGGCCCAAAATTGCTTATTGGTTACTTTGTTACTTTGATATTATCCTGCAGCCTTCACACGTTCTGTCAATGGCATTGTATTTCAATTCAATCTCTTGCAACTAAATAGGGGTTTGCACACTGACTAAAAATACACGTTTTTTGATTGAAAACCCTGAATTTTTGACAAAAATCCGGCCTTTCCAGTCATTCACCCTGACACACGCTGCTGTGCCATTTTGACTCCTTTCAACTCACCTTTTGGCTGGTCTTACCATACCATCGTACAACACAAACATATTTGACATATTTGTTTGTATTGTTTATCTTTATAACAATATGATTAGAAGCAAATGTATCACTTTGACTGTCACTTTCATTTGTAACAAAGCAAGTACATAAAGTAAAGTTGATTACAAAAAAATTGTGACTAGTAAATTGTTCCCCGACATCAGCGCTTTATCTGTCAATGTGGTCAAAGTGAACAAGTCACTTTGTGACGGATAATGATTTTTAAATACAATCTGATAAGACTGTTTCCAACCCTTCATTCCATCATCTTTGATTTAATGTTGTATTATTTGTGAGCTTCATTCTGTTCAGTCTGTGTATTGCTCACCCATGCAGTAATAATAAGTCAGTAAGTAAGTGATCTTTATTTATAAAGCTCCTTTCACAGACCAGAGTCAAAGCGGTTTACAGTTGTGGGCATGTCTCTCAGTCCACACAGAGATGGGGCGGGGCCAGTACAGGAGGCACAGATCTATTTACAATCACATTCAATGTTTTAGAAACAATGATTTAGGGCCGTAATAACGCTTGTTTTCATTGATTAGTCGTGTGATTCTTCTCATGATTAATAGATTGGTTGTTTGAATCTCTCAAATAAATTTCAATTTAATACATTTGGTCATTCAATTTAACAAATAGTTCTTTGTAATTCCGAAGTATTTATTAGTGCTGTCAAACTATTAAAATATTTAATCACGATTAATCCTTAATGTCATAGTTAACTCAAGATTAACATATTTTGTTGTCCTAAATGTCCCCTGATTTGATTCCAGTCCCCTCCAATAATAAGGTTTTTGGATTGTCAAATATAGGCTACTCAACCTCTGCTTTTTACAGTGTCTAGAACTGGGGTCCCCCATTATCAAACAAAGATCTACTTTTATAGCAACCATTGAACCGTGATCTACCTTTGATTTATGTGGGTGTTTACCATTCACAATATCATGATGCAGATTTTATTCATGATCAAGTAATTACCATGTTGTCTTTCATTTCATTGGCAGGAAATAAATAAATACTTGAAGTACATGTGACTTTTAATCAGCCCAGACATTAGACAATATCAGAAGGGTGCATTGTTCAATTAGCATTTATTAGCAGTTTTAAGCAAGGTCCCAGATTACTCAAGTCTGGTCCATGGCCGCTCCTGCAAAAGTCTACATCACTCTACCGAAGTCTGCGAAAATCTGATTTCCACAAAGAAGGATGGAGCAGGCCTTAAATGCTGATGTAAACACAGACTGTGGAAACATGCCTTGAATGAACCGTATGACTTCAATGTTCACACACATTGGCCTAAGATGACATAACCATGAGCTAAGTTTGGCTTTGGCATAAACCAATCTATGTACTGTACATTTATGCTTCGTAAGCTATTTAAAGTCTCTGTATTAATTAGCAAGAAATAATATTTAGTCATTTACATACACATACATCTGCCCCCAAATATACAGTATGTTCTTGTGAAGTGTTGCTCATAAATGTCACTTATAACTGCTTGGTGTCATATTGTTTATTGGAAACGCACAGACCTCATTTACCTCTGTCTACTTTGACCGCGCTGCTCGAACGCACAGAGCAGCAGCTACGTTTGCAGACGTGATGTGACCGGCTTCAGCTACGAGTCGTGATTAATATTATTTTGTGTTTTTAGACTTGTGTTCAGCACTTTGGGCAGCTGTGTTGTTTTTAAAGTGCTCTATAAATAAAGTTGAATTGAATGGCCCCGAAGCACTGCAAGAGCTGTGAGAGATGCACGCCTAATATTATTTATAAATCATTCACTAATCAATTAACCGATGCAATACAGTTTGTTTTAGACCAACATACCATCCTTGATGTCTTCGAAATATTTGTAGATAGTAAGTGCAATTTGTTTTCGCTTGTGTGTTATTTGAGCTCAACTCCACCAACCTCCGGTACTCTGATTAGATGAAAGATTTATGGCTCTTCCTGTCCGACGATGGAGACACATGAGTGCACAGCTTCATTCACAAACTCTGCTATCAATAGCTCTACGTCCAGTCATGACTTCATTCAAACTGCTCCCTGTAAATAAAAACACATGGGCAGAATTGGACCTCTGGGAACCCCTGGTTTATCTTCAGGTTCCTCACTCAAGTCTCTTAAATCTGTTATTCAGTCAAACCCAGGAGGGTGTTCTCCTTAATGGCCTCATTAGACCTTACATCAGCAATGATCTTGAGAATAATGTGTCCAAATGTGTCCTGGCCCTGTTTACTTACCAGTTTTTAACATTACTGCAGCAGGACAACCACTATAACTGAACATTTAGTTGAAATAAATTGGTTGCTTAAAGTTGTAATATCCCAAAAAAAGCAGGTGTGAGTCGCGCCCGCTGATTTTCAATGGCTTGTCCTGTAAATCATCTGTAGTATTGTATTTGTAATTAATCTATCCACCCATTCATTTTCTTCCACTTCATCTGTTGCCGGGTTGTGGGGGCAGCAGTCCAAGGAGAGACTTCCCAATCCACACACACCTCCTCCAGCCCATCCGTGGGACCCCAAGGCGTTCCCAGGTCAGCTGAGCCACCTCGACTGGTTCCTCTCGATGTGCAGAAGCAGTGGCTCTACTCCGAGCTCCTCCAGTGGGACAGAGCTCCTCACCCTATCTCTAAGGGAGCGCCCAGTTACTCTTAGGAGGAAGCTCATTTCGACCGCTTGTATCTGCAATCTCGTTCTTTCGGTCATTACCCAAAGCTCATGACCATAGGTGAGGGAGGGAACAAAGATTGACCGGTAAATCAAGAGCTCAGACTGTTTTGTCTGGGAATCAGACTCAGACAAAACGGGATCCTGTAGATCAAAACGTGGTCGTTTATTCACAAAATGGCAGTTGATTCAGACAGAGCAAAAGTCAAGACATGGTTTTATAGTCAATGTTACGTCACACATCGAAAGACATACGTGTCAGATCCAAAGACAGTCAGAGCATATTATAGTCATAATGCACAATCAGAGTCTTTGTAGTCCTGCGTCTGTCCACCTGGTAGGTCATATAGCTATCTAATCCTCATAACTTGAACTCCTCCACTTGAGGACCTCCCCACCTGAAGAGGGCAAGGCACCTTTTTCCGGTCGAGCACCATGGCCTCAGATTTGGAGGTGCTGATTCTCATCCCAGCCGCTTCACACTCTGCTGCAAACCGTCCCAGTGCATGCTGCAGGTCCTGGTTTGTTGGAGCCAACAGGACAACATCGTCCACAAACAGCTGAGATGAAATCCTGTGGTCCCCGAACAGGACCCCTCCGGCCCCTGGCTGCGCCTTTGCCGGCATTGCCAGCAGTAAGTCAGACCTGTTCCCGGTGCATTTGTTGTAATTTGTACGTGAATATTGAGTTTATGTAATTTTAGCCAAGGGAAAGTGTCTCTATCCATTGTTAACTCGTGCATTCATTTGTATATGGGGTGACAGTAGCTCAGTTGGTAGAGCATCTGCCTTTAAACCTGAAGGTCGTGGGTTCGAGCCCACCATGAGAGCTACTTCACGACTCCCACTGATGTCTGATGTTGTTGTGTCTTGCCCAAGAACACAACAACGTCAAGACTCTTAACCCCACTTGCAGGAGGATCATGGAGGGGCTGGTGCTCTGTGACTGAGTGCAGCTCTGACTGCCACCCCCCCGACCCAGATATGGATTAAGGGGAAGAAAATGGGATGGATGGATGGATGAATAATTTGTCTATCGAAAGTAATTCAAATGTTTAACACCAGCATGTTGGGGTGCACAATTATTCAATCAAATCAATATATCATTTTTTTGTATGGGTGAACAATTTTATTTTATTTTCATGGCCCATCCTCAAAAAATGAATTATCAGAATGTTGAAAAATGAAAATTTTAAAACATCTGATTAGGTGGGTGTACAGCCCAAAACGCTTTTCTTTAGAATGATGTCGTTATGGCATTTAGATATTTCTCCAAAATGTTACAGCTCTACCTTCATGTAAACACAGTGATTGTCTTGGAGCCACTTATACAGACTGGTTACAATCCTCCTGCGGCTGTCCTAATCAGCCTCTCTCTTTCACCTCGCTGAAACTCTTGCTCACGTGTGCACGCTGTCGGTGCACCTCAGTGGCACTACTTTGCGCTACTGTCTCCACCCCCATACCCCTGAGTCTTCGATTGTAAATGATCTAAAACCCTTTTGGGGGAAGGATGAGCACATACTCTCCTTCTCTCTCTCACCGTCGAAAACTGAATCAACAGTGATACCTTCCATGGAGGCCGTTAGTGTGCGCTGTGCAATGATGTCACTGGCAGCCAATCAACACTTAGAGCTGCTCTATGTGTGTGTGTGTGTGTGTGCGTACGAGTGGAGGAGGGGGGAGTGTGGAGGTGAATTCCGCTGGGAGAACAGTGTGCACTTTCTCAGTTATTATCGTCGCACATCACAAATCCGTGCACTGCCCCTTCATGAGTGCTTTACGTATCACTGTGGCAATTAGTTAGTGTTGGAACAGATTGTGATTTTGATTCAATTTCTCTTTAAGAAAAGGAATGGCACAAATAAATCAGAGGGTTCCAGCAGGAAAGCTGCAGCTACTGATTATTTTTGTATTTTAGTGATTATTTTGAAGTAATCTATTCTGTTGTCGGTGTTACCTTCAGAGCTGTGTTGGCAGCACATTGCAGAAATACTAAAATAGTTCTGTGGCTTGATGTGAAATAGTTTTAAGTGGTTTCAAATTGTGTGAGCCATTTTTTATTTTTGTGTGTCTTCAGTAAATGAAATCTGATATGTTATGGTGGAAAATGTGCATTCGCATTTCAACTTTATCGGTCTTTATCTGGTGCCTTGAAAAAGAGGAATCGGCCATTTAAAAACAGCCTGTTTAATCAACCATCAGCCTCAGAACTCATATTGGTGGAGCTCTGATAGTATATAAAGAATTATACTAATCAGGAATGTCATAATCTGATGGCGTGATCGTGAATCGGCCTGGATCATGTGGTTTCAGACTCTGCACTAATCATGACTCGGACATAACACATATTTGAGAACGTTTATATTTTACAACCAGCGATCCAAAAAGTTGATTTCGGCCACCTCTTGTCCTCCTGGTCCTGAGCAGTAGGTGCGCTGTTAGTGCTACAACACATGAGATGCATGCTTTTTAAATTATGAATCATAAAGATAACTATGTTCTGAATCATAGAGTTAACTGTATGATTCACAACATAAAAAGCGCTGGGAAAATGTTAAACGCACAACCTTACGAAAACATTCAAATACATAACTACGCACTGGCTTGGGCACACAGGTCTGCAGAGTCCAGAGCTTGCTCGTTCAGGTCTGTGGACCATGGGGCTTGCACCGGTGACTGTGTCTTGGTTAATAAAATGTGAGGTGAGGGGCTTTGTGAGGTCCCCTGCCACAGCATAATGCAGCCGTTTCCTCACAAACTCAGACCAAAGGTAAACATCACCAGTGCGTGCACAAAGGCTATTGCGGTATTTCAGTTTCATAGTGTAGCACAAAATTATTTAAGGATAACGATAATAATAATAATAATAACTTAGAAATGGATTAAGTCAAAGAAGATGGATGGATAATAATCTATGGTAGCTCATTGCATTTGACAATTCACAACTTGATGCATGGCCCTATACTGTTGTCTTAATGAGGCCAGTGCAGTCAGTAGGCCACTGTGTCAACGTAGGCTGCTGCAGTACGTTTGTGTAGCTGCGATCCATAAGTAAAATGCTCATAAAGCCCAGCTACATAGTAATTAGATTGCAATCGATACAAGGCAGCAGCTCTTTCAGCAGGTCAATGAATGAGTTAATTATTTTACGTTTAACAAGGAGTTGCTGGTCGTTACTGGGACGTTGACCTCCTTTGAGTTTTTATCTGGCAGCATACGGTACAGACAAGTGATGAAAAAGATTCTGTCAAGATGAATCACCGTACTTGCAAGTGCCGTTATTCTTCCTCCAGCCCATTGGCCTTGGAGGTGTATTGAATTTGCCACTAGCATTCTTTGGCAGCTTGAGTGAAGGAAGTTGTAACCTTCATCTTATCACACACAAACACCCACATGGTCTCATGGTGTAGTGCTTTTGTGATGGCTCTTTCTAATTTTATATATATATTTTTGATCTTATTTGTCTACTTCAATATTTTGTTAAGTCGATTTATCGCTGGATAGTTTCTTAGTCAACTAATTATTGTATTTCAATAAATCCTGCGTGAAAAAAATAAAAATTAGAGAAAAATCGGTTCTGGTTTTAGTACTTACTTTGATGTTCAACTCTGATCATTCTCTCCATTCACATGTTTAATACGTATTTTCTTAATCATGGTTTGTTCAAATGTTAATAAACATGTAAACAAACATATGCAGGTCCTAGTTGTATACATTACATTTAGAAATTGTGATACCTAATAATAACGTATAAATATTTTAGATTATATTCTCATGGTCATCATAGCAGCACCATGATTGCTCCCATGGTAGTCCGATAACCTTGGACTGTTACCTTCTTTGGCCAATCAGCTTCCCTCCCTTCCCCAGGTGCCCACGGAGTGCGAGAGGAGCCCCACTTTGTGACGGCGCGTGCAGGAGAAAGCGTCATCCTGGGATGTGACGTTCCCCACTCCCTCAACGGCCAGCCCTACGTGGTGGAGTGGTTCAAGTATGGGATGCCCATTCCCTTCTTCATCAACTTCCGCTTCTACCCTCCTCATGTGGACCCGGAGTATGCAGGTACTTCCAAGAAACATGTTTAATACAGCTGGAGCCAGCGTGGTTATAGAAAAAAATCATGTATTGTTTTTGGCTATTAAAATAACAGACAATTTACTTGAAAGTGAAATAATATTTTTAGTAGAAAGAACATGCTTAAAGGTCCCATTAGGGGCGGGCGATAACTATCGGAGGCGATAATATTGCGAAAGTAACTTTGACGATGAGTCAATTTTTCACATTATCGAGATACTGGCTCTGTTTCACTTTCGCCGCTTTGCCTGGTTCTATCAACCCCGTTTTCTACTGATAACGAACATGTGTCTATCGCGACATAGATCGTTATTGTTTTATCGCCCAGGCGGGCTTCTGCGTCATCCGCGTTGTCAATGTTTTGCGCGCCATTCATGTGTACGTGGTGTTGTACTGCCTCCTGAGAATTAAAAAGATCACTCTATAACTTAAACTTAGGGGGATCAATTAAAAAACTACTTTGGGCACGTGTATGAAGGCCAAAGAGCAAAGCATAGAAAAGTCAAAAAGCGTAATATGGGACCTTTCCCCTAAAGGTCAGAAATCTAGGGGTAATACTGGACTCAGACTTAAATTTTAATAGCCACATCAAATCAGTAACATGAGCAGCTTTTTACCATCTAAAAAACATTGCCAGGATCAAAAACATAGTGTCTAAAGCAGACCTGGAGATTCTTATCCATGCATTTGTCTCCAGTAGGTTAGACTACTGCAATGGCCTGCTCACAGGTCTGTCCAAACAGGCTGTAAAACAGCTGCAGTACATTCAAAATGCAGCAGCTCGAGTCCTGACTAGAACCAGGAAGTACGACCACATTAGTCCTGACTAGAACAAGGAAGTACGACCACATTAGTCCTGACTAGAACCAGGAAGTACGACCACATTAGTCCTGACAAGAACCAGGAAGTACGACCACATTAGTCCTGACTAGAACCAGGAAGTACGACCACATTAGTCCTGACTAGAACCAGGAAGTACGACCACATTAGTCCAGTCCTCAGGTCTCTGCACTGGCTTCCTGTGGCTCAGAGAATAGACTTTAAAACAGCTCTGCTTGTTACAAGTCTCTCCATGGCCTCGCACCAAAATATATTAGTGACATGTTAGTCCCATATGAACCAGCCCGGACTCTGAGGAGCACAGGGACTGGACTCTGAGGAGCACAGGGACTGGATAGCCCACGTTGATTACATTATGTTTTAAGCCAAAAGATTTCTGGGTGTTTTTATTTTTTTTTATTTGGGCGTTGGGCTGGAAAATCTTGCCGACATTTGGCACACTCATGGGAGTTGTGTGCTTCTCGTGAGTGGTTGAAGGAACACGTCATTCAAGATGACAGAGTGGTTTATCCACTCAGCTCTTTTCACTTCAGATTTTAAAATTTTCTTCTCATGATTCATTTCCGATCATCAGCTGTTCAGGACCATTGTCCTGAACAGCCATATTGGATATACAGGACCATATCCAATATCCATGGTTCCTTCTTCCAACTTGTGAAGTCACGGTGAAAGCAACCATCAGCTGTGGCGGGTGCATAACATTCAACAACTGGAAAAATTCTGATTCTCTCTGTAATAATCTGTGCATGGCTAAAGGCTCGATACTGTTACTGTAAATCTCTAATGTTCTTCCTACATGCTTCCTCATGTTCCCACTGTTTTACCAGTTTTATAATGAGAGGAAATAGATCATACTGCATATTTAAATGTGGTTCCACAAAGAGTCTCTTTATTCTTTCCCCCGATTCAGGCGATATGGAAATATTAAATTATACAACAGACCACTCCATGAGCTCCACTCAAACATCCCATTGTTTTGAGCATGTTGAAGAAAGAAGACATTTCTAGTCTAATGAGCTACATTTAAATGAATATCATGTCTTTCCAAGGCACAAAGAACTGCATTCATGGAAAAGGGAAAACAATAAATAAAGAGTGTATAGAATCTGTCTTCTGATTGAAATAATCTGTCTGCAAACTTTTGAGAAGATCTTTGAACTGTGTGGAAAAAAAAAAAGTGTTTGACACATTTGAGCATTTCCTGAAGATAACATGAATGAGAACTTGTTGATGGTTTGGAAGTTCAATCTTGTGCATGACAGTCATGCAGTTGAAACAAAGTGAGCTCATAGATGGTATCTGCTCTGTGACTGGACTGGAAGGATTGGAAGTTATAAGATAAGATAAGATAAACCTTTATTAGTCTATATAATAATGAAGCTCCATCGAGGTCTCGGGCGAAGACAATTACTGCTGAAAACAAGATTGCAGCAGCACCTTAGTCTCAGATCTTACAACATTCAGCCCCTGATCTTGATCTGGGGCAACTCTTGACATTTGACATCTATGACTTTTGCCATAGTTTCTCATAATAGTAACAATTACATTTTGTAAATCCTTTGCATGTAATTATTATAATTATTATATAGTATTGTATTGGGGACGGACGTTATTAATTCATTAATAATTGGTTACGCAAAACTTTATTACATTGACTCTAACTCCCTACACAAAACTCACACCCCATTAACATTTCCTTACCTCTACAAAATCTACACCAGACCAAAAATCTACAGTTCTAACACCCTTTTTAATCCCACAGCCCCATTTCACACCCTAACTACTAATTTGGTATATACAGCCTACTGTTTTATACAGCCTACTGTTTTATACAGCCTACTGTTTTATACAGCCTACTGTTTTATACAGCCTACTGTTTTATACAGCCTACTGTTTTATACAGCCTACTGTTTATACAGCCTACTGTTTATACAGCCTACTGTTTTATACAGCCTACTGTTTTATACAGCCTACGTTTTATACAGCCTACTGTTTTATACAGCCTACTGTTTTATACAGCCTACTGTTTTATACAGCCTACTGTTTTATACAGCCTACTTTTTATACAGCCTACCTTTTTATACAGCCTACTGTTTTATACAGCCTACTGTTTATACAGCCTACTGGTCCTCATCCTCAACACGTGCGGAAAATACTTTTCAATACTCATCTGGATTGAAGCAGCAAACATTCAGTGTAAGAGTAAAAAAACGACATAACATTATTTACAATAAGTTTATTTGATTCAAAGCTGCTACAGTGTTTCAACCTGACAACCAGTGCTTAAGGGGCCCAAAAGAAGTGCCTTTCATGTTTTAGATGCAAGAGAATGCACTTCTTTTTCCCTGAAGTTTTTTTTACAACTGTCAATGGACAACCTTGCAGAAAATATTATATAAATTATATACATTCATTTAGGGATATGCTTGAGCTAGAAAGAGCTACTGAAATGAATAAACAATGCAAAATGGTAGTGAAAGAATGTTGACTGAATGTTGTTGAATGTTGTAGGTTATACAGTGTTATGGTATTTTTTACATCTGTTTTCCATGTTTTGTCATAATTGTTACATAGAGGTTTAAAAACGAGTAGCTCTTTGCCTCTTCTGTTGTATGAAAGTAGCTCTTTGATTGAAAAAGGTTGGAGACCCCTGGTGTAGTCAATGCGTCTCTGAGCGCTCGGCCTGTGCAGAGCCCGAGAGCCGCTCGTAACTCACTGCAGTGACCAGCACCAGCGAGAACCACTTTGAGTAGTTTACAGCGGCGAAAGTGACCCATGCGCCTGTAGCTGGTAAAACCTATGGGTAATGTAGTCTCTGCTCTCGGTGAGACGAAGTAGTTTGCGATCAATGTGACGGGAGCTCTGAAAATGAGCGTATCATTCATAGACTTGGTACTGGTATGGCAAAAGCACGTTCTTTGCGCACAGAGAGGTTTGGAAGTGCCGGTGTTCTGTCGAGTTGTGCCGCTCAGCTGTTAACTCATCAACTGCCATTGACATTATTTGCTTGAGACTGGTGATTTCTGTCAAACTTCCCTCTATTCGACTGGGGATTCTAGGACAGCAAAAATAGCTAGAAACAAACTTATTTTTGCTGATGAAAATAGACCATCCAGTCTTTCAGAATCTGGTTTCATATTTAACATAGTCATAGTTAGGGCTGCAACTAACGGTTATTTTGATAATCGATTAATCAGGCGATTATTTTTACGACTAATCGATTAATCGGTTTATGTACTTATATTTTACTTTTGCCAATTTTTTTCCAAGTATATTGTTAACAAAGGGCCTTCATCATTCAACATAGACTTTTTAGAGATTTTAACCATTTTACATATTCATATCCACATCAAAAACATATCTGGAGCTGTTTATTATGTCTTTGTAATCCTTTGTTGAACTCAATATTGACCATCAAAACAAAACACTGACCGTTACATACTCTAGCAAATTTCACAAGGAGATTTACAATAATGTTTTCACCATGAAAATCCTTAGGGCTTCTGAAGTAGTTTAAAATCCCGAACAAGGCTTATATAAGTTGATAAACTGGATAAATGTTTTTTTTTTTTCTTTGTGCAAATTAGTTGAAAGATCAACTTTATGCCTAAAACAGTGAGTGTGGCGCCATCTTTTGCAAACAGTCAGTACTGCAGAGAGATGGTTTAAGGTGCTCACGCAGAGACGTACTCCCGTGCCAGGCCGTGCCAGGCCAAGTCAGTAGCGCAGAGTTTACAGGTTACTCTTCTTTTTAGAAGGTTCAAAGTAAAGTGCTCCCACACTTTGGATGACTTCGTTCGATTAGGTTTGTCTTCTGCTTTTTTCCTTTTCTTTCTCGAGCTCCACCGCCGCTTGCCTCCGCCATCCCGCTGTATGCTGAAGAGAAGCTGTGCGCGAAGCATGTGACATAAAAGGAGGCCAGCTATTGGCTGTTCGCTACTTCTCCTGCTGTAAAACCTCCGGTGGCTCATTACTGCCACCATTTGGTCACCGCAGAGTTAAAATATGCACAAAATGAGCCGCTTACAGCAAAATAAAAGTTATCTAGCCACTAATCGATGACTAAATTATTTGACAACTATTTTAATAATTGATTTTAATCGATTAAATCGATTAGTTGTTTCAGCTCTAGTCATAGCACATAATAG